AGCCCCGCGCGCGGTCCGGACGCGCTCTCCCGCCGCGGGGCAGGGGAGAGGGCTTGCTGTCTTGGTGTCGGGGACGAGTGTCTCCGACACAGCGACCGACACCCGCCTCTGAGCCGAGGCCGAGCTGATCCGGGAATGGCGACGAGTCGCCAAACAGCATCTCGAAGAACCCGGATGAAGTATATATAGTGGTGAGGTGGACGTGAGGCACTCTGGGAAGTGTAGTTTTAGTGTTCATCCGGGTCCCGAAAGGTTCTTCGGCGCACACCGCCGCACTCACTGGGCTGAGAAGGCGCACGGGACAATGGAACTTGTAGTTCCCGCCAAGTCCAGGTTTCCGTCTTAACACACTAATTATATATAATACATGTAATAATAATATAGCCCAGTAATAATCCATCCAAACATTGGAATACCTGTGAGACTCCTTTATATACTCGTCTGATATATTGTTCTTCAAGTATTGATATCGATTTATGACGCTTATTCTATCATATTAGGAATAATAACAGCATTAATAAAGACAATACTGTCAATTTAATAACACTTTACAGCACTTCCTCTTAAAATATTTTGTTGTTAATAAGACACTTTTTAAAATAATTGTTATTTAATTGTATTTATTCATTCATTTATTTTAATTTGATCAGAGAGAGACACACGCAGAGAGAGAGAGAGGGAAAGTGAGAAAGCAAGCCACCACGTCCAGGACTCACACTATATTCGGCCTTTTGAGAGTGTCCAGCACCTTAACCACCGCCACCTGCCAGCCTCTAATAAGCCACTTATTAATATAAATTGTTGGGGCCGGCAGGTGGTATGGTGGTTAAAGGTGCTGGATTCCCACATGGCCAACTGTGGTTCAAGTCCTGGACCTGGTGGCTTGCTTTCTCTCTCTCTCTCTGTCCCTGTCTCGTCAAATTGAAATAAACAAATGAATAAATAAATAAAGTTAAATAAAATAATTCTTTAAAAAATATATATATATAAATTGTTAATATTTCATTTCATTAGTACCAATATTAGTTATCATTGAGTGTTTATCATTAGCAGTCTCTACTGTCCTGTAAACGTGGATTACCACATTAATCTTCACAATTACTGTGCTAATTTTTTTTTTTAAGTTTGCTATAGGGCTCCTGCACTTGCCAGAGAGAGGCTGAGAGAAAGAGTGACAAATCACCCTCCTAGGGGGAATGGCCACACTGCAATCCCTTCTCCATTCTCCTCTTGGGATTTTGGGCATGCATGTACCTGTGCTTGGTGTGATTCAAACCATCGCATCTGGGACTTAAACCATTTGGCCATGTGGGAGTCTAGTGCCTTAACCACCAGTCACTGTTGTTCCAGTGTACTAAATTTTAAAGATGACAAAACAAACTCAAAAAGCTTAATTTACTCACCATTACATAGTTGAACAATTGCCCATTTTACAGATAAGAACACTGAGACCTAGAAATTCACATATATACTTTGGAAATCACATCACATCCACCTGTACTTTGGAAAAATTTAATGACCTTCCAACAATAGTAATTTGAGATTCAAAGACATAAAAGAGATGAATAAATAATCCTTCTCACTTAGACTTACTTAGTTGGAAACCTATTATGTGTAAGGCACAAACGATGGCAAATACACTAAGACTGAGACCTTTGGTGCCAGCAGGAGGCATGGTGGTTAAGGCACTGGACTCCTACATGGCTGACTGCAGTTCAAGTGCCAGACCTGACAGCTTGCTCTCTCACTTTATCTCTGTATCTGTCTCTCTCTGTTCAAATAAAAAAATAGCAATGAATACAAAACTAAATAAAACAATTATTTAAAAAAAAAGACTGAGGGCTTTAATGTATTCATACTGCCCTAAGTTAAACAAATGTGAAACTACAGTCCAAGAACACAAAGGCTATAATATATATTTTTTTAAAGAATTATTTTATTGAGCTTTATTTACTTATGTATTTATTTATTTTAATTTGACCAGAGAGGGACAGAGAGAGAGAGAGAAAGCAAGCCACCAGGTCCAGGACTTGAACCACAGTTGGCCATGTGGGAATCCAGTACCTTTAACTACCATACCACCTGCCAGCCCTAAGGGCTATAGTATATTGATAACTACAAAATGTTTCTCAGTACTATCACTTGAACTGAAGACAAAAAAGACAAAAAGATGAGTGGAATTTTAGCAGTCATTTTAGACTGACTGACTGAATGCGAGCCAGCAGATGGCATAACGGTTACATCACTGGACTTCCACATAGTTGAGCTTGTTTCAAGACCTGGACGCAGTGGCTTAAAACTTTCGTCAGGCCTGTGTGCACCTAAAATCCCAAGAGGAGAATGGAGGTAAAAGGACTGCAGTGTGCCCATCCACCCTGGGGTTGATTTCTTGCTTTCTGTCTCTCTGTCTCTCTCTGTCTTTCTCGCAAGCGCCTGCACTCTAGGACCGTGGTTTGAGTCCCAGACCTAGTGGCTTAAACTCACGCTGGGCACGTGTGTGCATGCCCAAGATCCAGAGAAGAGAATGGAGAAGGGAATGTAGCGTGTCATGCCCCCTGGGAGGTGATTTCTCACTTTCTGTCTCTGTCTGTCTTTCTGGTGAGTGCACTCATCCTATAGCAAAAACAAAAAAACAAAAAAACTCTCAAAACAAACAAACAAACAAAAAGATTAAATGAATGAATACATCACTAACTGGAACCTTCTCACTTCTTCATTAATTATCACATGGTTTACAAGACATTAGTGAGTATTTATATGTATAAAAAAACACTTTCTTGTCATTTATTCCAGTTTAAGCTGAGATAAAAGAAGTTAGATACTAACCTCATTTTTAAGAATTATTTATTTAATTTTGTTTATTTTATTATTTTTTTAACTTGACCAGAGACTCAAAAAGTAAGATAGCAAGCTGCCAGGTTCAAGACTTGAACCGTGTTCTGTCGCATGGCAGTCCAGTGCTTTAACCACCATGTCACCTGCTAGTCTCTAATCTCCTATTTTTTAATTTTCTGAAAATGCCCTCCACCAGTCCTTGTCCTGCTTCACCTTTAGTTTTCTCCACCACAAACACAGGTCATACTAAAATGAGAGAAAAGCTACGTACTCTTGATCTGGAAATTTAATATGGTGTCCAGAAAGAACAGCCCCAAATCTTGAGATCCATTCTCATATGTAACTAGGTGTGGAAGATATTTAAGTTTCCTTGCTGAACTTTTATTTCCTTTAACAACACCGTCAGGTCAGAGTACAGGAATGAATCCTTTCTTCCTTCTATCATTTCTAAAAATAAAATAGAGAGAAAGGGAAATCCCAAAGCAGTAAAGTTCTTTCCAAATGAGAGCAGTGTGTGTCCATCTGTCAGGCTATATTAAATTAAGAAAAGGCTTTTCATTCAAAATAGTTTCCTAGGAGTCTTGGCACTTTATTCTTGTGAAATATTTACAGGAAATATACATTTAGAAGGGGAATTAAAGCAGAAACATACAGTAATCTAAGTAAAACACAACAGCTCCATTATTTTTTTTGTTCAAGATGGTCTACATTACTCTTTCCATTAAAAAAAGACTGAAAATATGGAATTTAAGTAAAACACCTACAACATGCCAATTGGAGCTAGAAATGTAGATTTGTATCATCGGGAGAAAAGGGGTGAGTGGTGTGTGGTTCTGGCTTGTTAAACGGATACCATACCATTTATGAGTTTCTTGGGTTCATAAATGGAGAGTACTCTTACGTATGTTTCTCAAGAATGATCCACAAATTCCTGGGATCATATTACCAGAGAAGCTTATTCAAATAAAGATTCCAGGGACACATACCAAATTGACTGACTCGAAATTTTTGGTAGTTGGAACCCATGAATCTGCGTTTTAAAGATCAAGTCAGGTGATACTTACACACAGCAGAGTTTGCAGGAGTTGACTCCGTGATTTGAATCTTTTAACCACACCGTGCCTCAGTTTCTCCCCTTTCACCCCAGAAAACAAGATTAGTTCATGTCATGCTGGCTAGTACTCATACTAATGACTGGCAGGATTCAGAAACTCTGGGATGAGAGAGAAGAAGGTATTTCGGGTGCTCAGAGACAAAATAGCTTTCGGATTCCAGAAATCATGCCTGGCTCTTTAATATCGGGAGTCGAAGGCGCATTCGGCTAATACTGTCTCAGGCCGGCCACCGTCGCCCATCTGGTGGCGTAATGCGACGCAGTCGTTCGCTCTCATCCGACTGTAAACATGGCGGCCCGTGGGAGCTGCACGTTATGGAGTTACTATGGCCGTGGCAGGTCTTGGGCAATATGGAGTGGCTGCATCCCCTACTTTTGTAGTTCCTGGCACGGGGCCTTTCTGGGTGCGCGGCTTTTGTCCCAAGAGAAGCGGGCAACGGAAACGCACTTCGGGTTTGAGACTGTTTCGGAGGAAGAGAAGGGGGGCAAAGGTGAAAGGGGCGAGAGGGCGGCTGGAGGGATCTGACAGTCTGCGATCTAGTTTCTTCTACCCAACTAAGGATTACGTTCTTGTTAGCTCCGAGGCTGTTGTCTGCGCAGTCCCGACTTCCAGGGAGGGCCCCTTGTCTGACCCGTCAACAGCTTCGACACGCCCCCTTTTTAAGTAGAGTAATTCTAGTGATAATCCCATAAAACCCATCGTTTGAGCATTTATGGTGTGCCAGTCACAGTGCAGACATTATTTCCAGTTCTCATTTCAACTTTCCGATAGTGGACATTGTCTTTTGGTGTTTTGTTTTTAAGTTTGCTGTAGGACCCATGCACCCGTGGAAGAGAGTGTGTAAGTGAGAAATCATCACCAAAGGGGGATGGCCACGCTACAGTCCCTTCTCTGGGGATTTTGGCCACTCACACGCCCCCGTATAATCCTCAGGCCATTAGATCCCAGACTGGAACTGCCAAGTCATCCCTGTGAGATCCAGCCTCCTTAACCTCTGTGCCACTTGCTGGCCCCAGGTGTTGGGTATTGTTATCTCTGTTTAGGCAGGAGGAAATTGAGACAAAGGTTAAGCAAGGGATGATTGCCCAATTTATTATAGCTAGCAAGTGACGGTAGCAGTTTCTTAACCTCTTGCTGAAAAGAGAGAAGCCATTTTTCTAGAAAGGAGGGAGGAAACTATCTTCTCTGTGCCCTGGCTTCCAAATTTGTTAAATATAAATAGAAGTAACTCTTCTCAGGATTCTTGTGAGCATCAAATTACTTCATACATGAAAGCACTTTGGACAGCATCTAGCAATTTATAGTTGCTCAATAAATGTTAGATATTGAGCAGTTTCTTTTTGTCAGCACTATGCCACAAGCTTGGGAAAGGAAAAGGACATTTTAAACTCCAGCTGTACCATCTGTAATAAGGGCGGTAGAATGCCCACCTTAAAGATGGGTAAATCGAGGGGGTCAGTGGATGGTGTGGTGGTTAAGGCATTGGACACTCCCACATGGTCGACCATGGTTTGAGTCCTGGATCTGGTAGCTTGCTTTCTCACACACACACACACACCCACACACCTCTGGCGCTCTCTCTCTCTCTCTCTCTCTCTCTCTCTCTCTCTGGCTAAATTTAAATGAATGAATAAAAATTATTATTTTTTTAAAAATAAGGATTAGTCAAGATTCTGAGAAGTTCCTAAACTGGGCCTAAAGTCACTCAGGAAGTAATGCACAGTGGGTTTCCCCATCCTATGGAATTTCTCATCCTCTTAAAGATTTATTTTGGGGGGCCAGCGGGTGGCGTGGTGGTTCAGGTGCTAGACACTCCCACATGGTCGACCACGGCTCAAGTCCCGGTCCTGGTGGCTTGGCCTCTCACTTTTCCTCTCTCTCTCCGT